TTTATAGTTTCAACTGCAGTGTGTTTCAGAAAGCATCTTTCGGAGTACCGTTGCATCATATTTGTGCAAAATCCACATAGAAAAGCTCCATTTTCATTCCAGCTCAAACGTTCACCATCAGCCAACATATCTGTAATCAGTGAATTCTGCCCCACTTTAAAAAAAAAAAAAAAAAAGTCTCAAAAATCCCATACTGGTTGGGCTCTTGAGCTATGTGATATTTACTGTGCACACTTAGTCATTTTCACAATCCTACAGATTGGGTGACATTTCTGGATCAACACTTACGTTTCACAGGTTGAGGAGGCGGCACGTCCGCTGCAGGCTGAGGGCTTTCTGATTGGACGTTTGGCTTCTGCTCCACATCTCCATTGGGTTCTGTGGTTGTCATAGTGACAGACACCTGCTCTGTCTGTGCTGACGTCTGAGCGGGCAACTCTGTGTATGGCTTAGGTGATTCTGTATATGGCTTTGTTTCACTCTGTTCTAATTCCACCTCTTCCTTCTTTACCTCTCCATTAACATGGCATCTTTCCTCGTTTTGCTCATTGTCTTCTTCCACCTTCACCCCATTTGTGAGTCCTGTCCCCTTTTCTGCATCCCTGGGCTTCTTGTGGTCTGCTTGCTCTGATATTTCCTCTTCCTGTTTGATAGTGGGCGCAGCCTCTACCTCACCATTTGTTTTCTTGTTTTTCTCGTCAACCATCGCCTCTTCCCGCTCCTCGTCTTCGCTGTTGCTGTCGTCCTCCTGGTCAGACGTGCTACGCCTGGCTCGCTTGTTCTTGGGACCTCCGTTCTCCTGAGGCTTCCTGTCTTTGCGGTTTGAGACCCTCCTAACCATGTTCCTTTCAGATGACCGAGACTTCCCTCCACCAACACCACCTCTCTATTTGTCAGCAGGACAAAGAAAGTTTAAGGAAACAAGTGCAGAAAAAGGCGCTTGTACAGTAAACATGCATAGATACAGATTATGGATAGGCAGGATCAAAACAATGACATGTACCTCTTTAATAAAAGGCTTCACGTGTATTCCCTTCACTGTCTGGATAACGCCATCATAGAACTTCACAGTGTAGGATGCTGAGAGGGATAAAAGAGAAATGTTGCAAACCATGTTATACAATAACACAAGCTGTTAGCCAGACAGCTGATTACAGACTAGATTTGAAGTATCTGATGGTTCTTATTCCCATATTAAGAGTTGTGTAATTGTGCAACAGAGAGCTTGGTCTTCATAGTTTCTCTTTGCTATGCTAGACAAAGCAATGTTGCTATTATTGAATGCCACGCAATACCACACAATACCACAGTTTCCTTTAAAAAGCAAAACTGACAGTTAAACATTTTAAACTGATGCATATTGCACATCTTGCACTGAAACCACAAAACTTAAACAGAAGAAAATCCCTTTCTGAAAAATGATGCGCATTCAACCCATTATAATCATTAACTCCAAATACAGTGGACCAATACATTTAAACATATTAAGACAATTGTACTCAAAGTATACAAATGCAAAATAGATACCCACCATCTTTATTGACTGAAATGACCTTAGCGGGGTAGAAACGGCAGTCGGACCAGCTGGCAAGGACCTTATCGTTCACATGAAAGCCCTGTAGGAAGGACAGAGACATTTGAAGTCGGGCTTATTGTAGATACGTTCTCAGAATCTCGTGGGAGGAACAGCTAACTGCTAACAAAACCAACATTCTTGTTACATCTTTATTAAAATTACTTTTACCCACAAGCAAATGCAGCAGATACCCATTGAGCTCATGCAAATAAAACCCTTGTATCACGTTTCAGCTAGAAAGCCAGATGCTGCTCTGTGCAGAAACACTGTAGAACAAAGGCTGGAGGAACACAAGATAACTCCGGAGCAGGGATGTCCTTCCAATTGCTCTATGCAACGCAGGACAAAGCGAACATGAACAATGTTCTTAACTTACAGGTATAGGAGCGTCGTCCTGCAGGCCCTGTCGCCTCAGCTGAACCCTCTCCACAGGCCTAAGGTAGGGACTGGTCCAGTCAAACCACTCGTCGTAGCGGTGGCTCCACTGGCGGTAATGGATTAGTACTTTTTCACCTTCGTAGTCAATCTTCTCTATGTTGGCAGCATACCTACACGACAAAAGAAATTCAATAATGAGTGATTAGGAAGGGAGAGGTTTATGTTCCTTGTCCTTTGTCTCAACATAACACAAAGATGGTGGCAAGTCAGAAATTAAATCAATCTTGAAAATGTCAAACACGAAGAACCACAATGAATCATGACGCACTGCTTAATTTAACAGGATGCTGTGCTCAGGGCAGTGCTGGGCTACTTTAGTGTGATTACCTTGGATTACAAATTCAGTACCACATTAATGCAACCGCCCCCAGTACATACAGATATTTCTCCTTTAGCCAGACACCGAATAGGAGAACCAATATCAAATTTGTTTTTAATGTGTGTGTCTGTCAAAGGGTGTGACTAGGAGAGGTAACATAATAGGTAATGCAGTTAACAATACAGGAAGTGCATTTCTTTTTCAGTGAGGAATACATGGGAGCAGTTACTATGTAAAAAAGGTCTCCCATCCCAACCATTCAAATGATTAATATTAGACATTCAGATTCATTTTACTGTCCTGCATTATCAATCTAGATCAAAGGCAGCTTGAAAGCACACAACCATCAGCTGTTTACTGGCAAAAGGAGCAATGAGTGGCTTTCTCAATCTGTGAATGGTTCATCGACTTAAAGAACAGCTAACCAACCCAGGCCCAGAAAGGAGAGAATGAACATTTATGAGAGAGAATGAAGGAAGTGAACAGTAACAGGGATGAGAGGAGTGAGCGAGGCCATGACTCACCAGTTTTTGAGGCTGTCTCTGGCCTCGAGCTGAGCTCCCACCTCAAATGATATCCCTCTTCTGGTAGGGGGCGTCTTACTCATACTGCCCACATCAAGGCTCCCTTCCTGTATGTACACACGCGCACACACACACACATTAACCAAAACACATACCAATCAAAACTACACCCATATGACCTTGGGTATACTACTAACAAACACATTGTGTCTAGTCAAGACAACTGCGACTGTCAAGGACTTTACAGACAATCTTGCAGTCTGCCAAGTCTCTCTCAGGTCATCACTAACAATTATTATACCACAAGACTGAGCACCTGAGTAGCAATTTTGGTGTTCAAGGCAAGTATGCCACTCCCATGGAATATACCATTGCCACTAGAACAATAATTCAGTCCAGGCTGGGGAGAGATATCACTCGTGTTAACACACACAAGCTACAGATTACACACGTTGTATTGTAGTACAACACAGTGTAAAGCAAAGGGAAAACGTATATTACGGTGAGCCATGCCCCTCAAATGGTGGTGAAATGTGTAACTAATACCAGATGTTCAGTGATCACTAGTTGAGACAACAGAGGTGTCTAAGAATGACTTCACACAGACTCCTCCCAGGATCTTTATACAAAACGAGCAGCATTCAATCTCAGTATTATATTAAGCAACCAAAAAAGGCACGATGAGAACAAGATAACGGGTCCATAGCTTTCACTTCCTACTGGAAGCACCCACCACTACAGTAGGCAAGCAATTATGCAATCATGCACCAAGCCAATACTCGACACATTAAAAACTGAAGATTCTTAAACTGGGTCCTTGTCTATGCGGTTTCATCAAATACAGGCCAGTACTGTGCCGCTGCCGTCCAATCGCTCGGTGGAGGACGATAATCTTTGTCTTACATGGAAAAATCCAATTCCCTCCCGATAACAGCGCCTCTTTTGTCGAGCATGCACAATACAGAGGACTGACGGAGACATCGGCGCCCTTAACTGGAAGCTAAACGATATACATTATATATACACACACACACACATCAAAACGTCTTACTTTGGTCCAGGTTATAGCTGGCTCGGTTCATCATAGCGGAGACAGTCTGGAGTTACTGGCTCAGCGCAACCTACAGACCGGATATCTTCACACTAGTCGGCCCACGTGTTTTCTGATCAGCCGATCTCACGTATCGACACAATAGGAGACAATGGCAAACATCCTTATGGTTATTCGTCGGATGCAGGCTGATCCCCGACGCGATATTAGAGCGGAAAACACTATACTAGTCAGGAAAATGCAGTATTTAACATGAAGAAATGTATTTTGATGGCGTGCACAGACAGAGCCAGACGGACGACAGCGACACGGGCAGGGCGCAGAGAGAGGGTTGGTGATGGCACAGTCAGAGTCTGGAAACGGACTGTGATTCAGTTTTAAAAGAGATAATGTTACGAGAGATATATTTAGCAATAATTTAATCGTATGTTGTTATTTACTCTAATAATCTAAGAGGAATAACGCATCCCACGCCCTTTTAATTGTACATGCGCACAATCGGTGCATAAAAGACAACGAGAAGCCGTCGCCTCCTCTTCCTCCTCTTCCTCCAGGTAGCCTTTGTTGACCACTACTTCCACTACCAGTGACACTTTATTGTCCGGCGTTTTATAACGTGTGTGCGTAGCGCGAGATATAACAGCATATGCGTCGGCGCTTCGGGCTAATGTGATTGGTTGAGAGGGGCTGCGGTGGGCGGGGCGCTCGCCTCTGATTGGCCGCTCAGCTGTCAGTCACAGCGCTACTCGGGGCCTCGCGCTGGGCCTACTTCTTGTTGGGAATGAGCAGCGTGGAAATGTACAGCATTAAACTTCCCAAAGTGACCCACCACGGAAACATTTGAGCTTTATCACCAAGTGATAAAGCGCACGGAGGACAAGAGACACACCAGTAATCAACACAATTAGACCAACTCAATGTACAAACATTACATTTTATTAGCTACTTCGTCACGTTTGTTTTGAACTCGAGAAGCCGACATGCGGCAGCACACCGTCTGCGCTGCTGCATCCACCAAACGGGCCTCGCTCCCGCTGTTATCAGGGATTATTAACGCTGAAGCAAAGGGGAGATAGGAGTTAGGTTTCCTACCTGTTCTCCAGTCGCTCTTTGTCCGGTTGGGTGTAACGTTAAAATGTGCAGTGAATCTTTTAAGGTGCAGGTACCACCTCCTCTGCCTGCCTGGCCCTAAACACGCAGTTGAATTTCTCCCCGCTGCATTCACTACCGGCGCGAGGAGTGTGGCGCCATGCGCACATTTAAAGGGGTGGTCGGGTTGGCTGCTGCCACCTCTACAATCTGATTGGTTACCGTGGATGTCACTTTAACTATCCTGCCATGCCATTGGCTCTCCTCTCGCGGTGGGGCGGGTGTTTACCCAGCAGGTTTGTCTCCACCGACTGCGTCTGGCAGTGTGTCTGCGCCGCTTTGTCTTTAAGGGCAGAGGTGTTTTTGTTATCGGCTGAACAGAAATGTAACAAAACTTCACTCTGGACAACAACAGTAACACGTGCAAGCACCGGGAGGTAACAGTGCGGTTCACAGCCTGTAAACTGTATCCCGTTATAGAGATGTTTGTCCAGTCCACTAATCCTGATACAGCCTCATAATGGAGAGTATTTTTAAGTAAGTTAATTGAATTCTTCTTTAAAGCCATGACAGAGGGGGCTGCTCGGATTGACCCTCCCTTTCCCTTCCCATTTACTGTGATCCTCCTTTCACAGTCTGTACATTCAGGATTACAATACAGGTGCTGCTGACATGTAACTCGTATACTCCAGATAAGAGACATTTACAAATACTATATACTATAATAATACAGGATCTGCACTTGTTTATCAGGTGTCTGTTACTTCCATATATAAGTGTTGCTTGTACTACTCTTCACATTGTACTGCTCTCACATCTAAACCTGTTTTTTCTTCTTTATCCCAAAACATTCAGACCACCTTTATTATCAGTATATGCTATAATGTACGGGATACTGTATAATTCAGATCTCAGGGATTGCATAAGGTAGTTTGCTTAGAGTATTTGACTAGCGTTCTGAAAATAAGCTCAGAAAAGGCTCCTGTTTATTTGTAATGTTAACCTACTTGATAATAAAGGTAGGGACTGAACAATTATGTGCATGTAGCCTATTATTGGTAGAAGATTAAGTATCAAGTATTCCAGTAACGTCATTTATTACCTAAATTGCTAAATTCTGTTGCTCAATGTCCTGTTTATATATTCTCATAAACATGAACATTTGTAAGCAAAAGCACTTTAAATATATTTTAACACATGGTACCAACTAATATTCTGACCAGTTATAGACATATATATATATATAT